GTGCGGGCGGGAGGGCGCCGGGGGCGCGGCCTCGGCCTCTGGGCCCAGGGATGTGGGATCCCGCTGGTCTTGGGTGGCTGCCCCTCTCCCTCCTCAGCCCCCTCCGGGGACGGGGCCAGGCTGCCAAGATGCCAAGGTCTCCCCTTAACCTCCCAACAGGAAGTGGATGCCGCAGGCGGGCTCCAGGGTTTCCCTGGCGTGGGACCCCCGGGGGTCAGCCCAGGGCCCCTGCTCTGGACAGGGTACCAGCCCCTGGCCTGCTCCTTGCGGGCAGCCAGATTGGAGCACGAGTCAGCACAACAGCTGCAGGGGGCACAGACAGGAACCTACGCCCACCGCACCCCCAGCGCCCTGCCCTGGGCTCCCAGAGAGGGAGCGAGCGCCGGGCCCCAGCCGAGGACTGCTTGTCTGGATTCAGAGCTGAGGCAGGTCAGCCTCGGGGTCACTGACCCCATCCGCACACGGAGACACAGCCAAGGACAGCCCTACTGCCAGCTCCCTCCATATTCTCCAAGAGGTCAGACAAGCCCTGCCTGCCAGCGGGCCTCCTGGCACTGCCCTGAGCCAGAGGCCTGGACATGGAGGCCAGACTGCGCAGCAGAGTCAGCGAGCCAGAGGGGGGCTGGACAGACGGCCCCCTGTTTACAGCTCTGCCCCCCCCCCCAAACATGGGCGTATCCACTAGCTCTGCCATATTTAGCTCCAATGCGGGCCCTGTTCCCAGCAGTGAGCATGGGGGGCGGGGGGAGGTGTGTGTGTGACACCAATGGGTGGCCCCACAACCACAAGGAAAGACATGAAACTGGAACACGATTGAGCATTTATTGCAGCGCTAAGAGGGTGCTGGGGGCTGCACCCGCCTCTGCCCTCTTCACATCCCCCTCCCGCTGGTCTCCAAGCCTCTCCGGGCCTTTCCCATCCCCGCACACTCCGCCTTGTCCTCGGAAGCGGGGTCGCCCTCTCAGGCACCTCGTTTCCTCCTCAGCACTTTGTCCCTTCTCCTGGGCGGGGGCTGTCAGCGGTGCCGGGCCCAGCTCCCCACACTTCGTGCCCACCGTCCTCGCTCCTCTCCTTTTGGGAACTCAGGGGAACCAGGCATCCTGGCCTCTGGCTCCCTCCTCTCCTAGCCCCCAACTTTGGGCAAACTACAAAGCATCCAAGGCCAGCAGCTCCCCCCCATGGTCCTAGCCAGGAAGGGCCCAGCCCAGCGAAGAGGGAGACACAGCCCCTCAGCCTCTCTGTGCGTCCTGGGACATGGAGCGGGACAGAGAGCGGCGAAGGGTGCCTGGCTTGCTGACTGGCACCACAGGGGGCAGCTGCTTGGTGATCTCCGCCATGTCCTGCCGCTCCGTGCACTGGCCACTCAGGGCTGTCTCCAGGGCCAGCAGCTCCCGCAGCTGGACGGGGGTGTCCTCGCGCTCCTCCTTGGCGGCGCCCACCTTGGTGGGGGTGAAGATGGGCAGCGGCAGCACCCGCTGGTAAGGCAGCAGGTACTCCTGCAGCCCTTGGCCCAGGATGCCCATGCGCATCACCAGCCAGGGGGACCGCTGCACCAGCGCCTGGCACCGGCCCTGGCGGTGGTAGGTCTCATGCCGCCGGGCATCCTCCTCATGCAGGGAGCACCTGGGGGGAGCGGGGAGGGGTGCTGAGCTCCTGAGCGGTGCCTTCCATTACGGGCTGGGCAGGGGACCCGGTGGGTGCAGGAGGGGGGAC